CCCGCCCAGCCCACGCGCCCCGTCACATGGCACTTCCTGGCCACGGGGAGCGGAGAGCCACCGGTTCTCCTGATGCGCCCCCTGATGTTCAGGTACCGGCACGGGGGCTGCCGCTCCCCAGGGGAAGGCAAGCGGGGCCATCTCAAGCCTCTGCTGAGCCCCCCAGCGTGACCCGTTAGGGAGCCACACAGCAAACCAACACCTGGCTCTGCTCCCAGGGAAGTCCCTGGACCTACTGGCCCGTGCCAGGGCCCCAGAGGAACCTGGAGCCATCAGCTGGCCGGAGTGCTGGTGTGAAATCACTCCTGGATAAGGAGGACCCACGAGGAAAACTGCCCCGCACTCTGTAATTACAGCAGATCCTGGCCACCCGCCTACAGCCGCCTGCCATGCCTCGCACCTTCATGAGCTCCTGGAGGGACTCCAGCTGGAGGAACTTGCTCTCCGTGACCAGCTTCTCGGGGTCACATTGCTGCAGAGAGAAGGGGAAGGGAGAAAGCTGGGGGTGGCCGCCCCGAGGCTGCGTGCACTGCGCTTCAAGCCCCTTTCCAGGAGCTCAGTCCCCTTCCAAGCGGCACGCGCACTAGAACTCGACCCTCCTCAGGACCCTGGCCTGCACCGGGGCCAGGACAAGTCACGGAACATCTGCATGTGCTACAAATCCATTCTCAGCAGCTTGTGCTTCGCTAGGGGGCGCTGCGCTGGGACGCCGTCCTGCACCCTCCCTATGGAGCAGCAGCTGCATGCTCATGGATCCAGGGACCCCAGCTCCCCAGGCGAGCGCCGTCAGACCCGCAGGGAGTACACTGCGGCTCCCTACAGCTGTGCACACGCAGGGCTGCTCAGTCCATGCAGCTTCCAAGGCCTCTGGATCCTAGCGGGCCGCATCCGGCCCACCAAGCCTTTCAGTCTGGCCCACCCAGCCCTGGGCAGGGAGCAGCTGTCGGCTCCCTGTGGCTCCCTGTGCTGCAGGGGATGGCAGGAAGCTTCTCGCGCTGCCCCGTCCCCCAGCAAAATCCCTCAGCTGCTCTTGGCCGGAAACCAGGGCTGGGGGCAATGCAGCACCATCGCTCAGCTCCCACTGACTGCTTCCTGGCCAGTGGAAGTGGAGAGATTTTACTGGGGCGGGGGCGGCGCAGGGAGCCTCCTCCCCCCCCAC